TTTCGGAAGGATTTCAAAATCTTGTGTCCAAGAAGCGTACAACAACACAAGGTTTCGCAACACGGATTTTCAACAAAAGCGTGCGCGAGCGCTCTTGCGTCGTCGTCGTCGTCGTCGTCGTCGCCGTCCTCCCTCCTCCCGCGTCGTCGTCGTCGTCGCCTACGTCGTCCTCTGTCTTTCCTCGTGTTCGTCGTCGTCGTCCTCGTTGGCGTCGTGGTCGTTTCCGTCGTCGTTGTTGCCGTGGTCGTCCTTCCTCCTCCTTCGTCGTCGTCGTCCGTCGTCGGCGTCTCGTCGTCGTCCCTCCTATTTCGTCGCCGTCGTCGTCGTCGTCGTCGTCGCCGTTGTCGTCGTCGTCTTCCCTCCTCCCTCGTCGTTGTCGTCGTCGGCGCCGCCGTCGTTCCTCGTCGTCGTCGTCGTCGGCGTCGTTGACGTCGTCGTCGTCGTCGTCGTCGTCGTCGGCGTCGGTGTCGTCGTTGTCGTCGTCGAAGTCGTTGGAGACGTCGTCGGTGTCGTCGTAGTCTGTGTCGGCGGCGCCGTCGTCGTCGTTGTCGCTGTCGTCGTCGGCGTCGGTGTCGTGGCCAAGTGTCATGTGGGACGTACCGTCACGGTCTTGTCTTAAGAGGTCTTGCGACCAATTTGCGGGTGGGAGGGTGGGATGTTTGCACGAGCAGCGGAGAGGACTGCTTCAAGACGGTCAAATATTATTAAAAAACAGAACAGGATCTACCCCCCCCGGCGTTATCGCTTCACCTTTTTGGTGTGTAAATCATACATGATTTTGACCACATGCCCATCCCAAATATGAATTTACACCATCCCCGGGGGGCCGGTATCCCCCCCTGAAGTTCCCTTGTAAAAAACACTATGCGGTTACATTTTTTGTTCTAACAGCACGTTTTCACGAATCCCTTGCAACAAATGGGACGAAGTGCAAACGCGCGCGTCGTCGCGCGCGCATGCCGAAATCCTTCAAAAGCCTTCGGTACCGGAAGGATTTCGCAATCGAGTTTTCAAAAAACATACAAAAACACTTGGTTTCGCAACAGTGATTTGCTAAACAAACTTCCGCGCGAGCTCTTGCGAAATCTTAAGAAAACCATAGGTTTTCACTATTTTCGCAAAATGCTATTGAACGGGCTTCGCGCGCGCGCATGTCGAAATCTGTCGAACGCCCTTGCGCGTGTGCGGTCGCGAGAATCTTCTGCAAAAACTAGGACGAAGTGCAGACGCGCGCGTCGTCGCGCGCGTATGCCGAAATCCTTCAAAACCCATCGGTTCCGGAAGGATTTCAAAATCGCGTGCCCCAAAAACCTACAAGAACCCAAGGCTTCGCAACACGGATTTTCAACAAAAGCGTGCGCGCGCGCTTTTGCGTCGTCGTCGCCGTCCTCTCTCCTCCCGCGTCGTCGTCGTCGTCGCCTACGTCGTCCTCTGTCTTTCCTCGTGTTCGTCGTCGTCGTCCTCGTTGGCGTCGTGGTCGTTTCCGTCGTTGTTGTCGCCGTGTTCGTCCTTCCTCCTCCTCCCTCGTCGTCGTCGTTGTCCGTCGTCGGCGTCTCTTCGTCGTCCCTCCTATTTCGTCGTCGTCGTCGTCGTCTTCCTTCCTCCCTCGTCGTTGTCGTCGTCGGCGTCGCCGTCCTTCCTCTTTCTTCGTCGTTCGCGTCGTCGCCGTCCTCCCTCCTCCCTCGTCGTTGTCGTCGTTGTCGTCGTTGTCGCCGTCGTCGTCCTCCCTCCTCTCTCGTCGTCGTCTTCGTTGGCGACGTCGTTGTCGTCGTCGTCGTCGTCGTTGTCTTCGTCGTCGCCGTCGTTGTCGGCGTCGTCGTCGTCGGCGTCGTCGTCGTCGTTGTCATCGTCGTCGTCGTCGGCGTCGTCGTCGTCGGTGTCGTCGTCGTCGTGGTCGCTGTCGTCGTCGAAGTCGTTGGAGACGTCGTCGGTGTCGTCGTCGTCGGTGTCGGCGGCGCCGTCGTCGTCGTCGTCGCTGTCGTCGTCGGCGTCGGTGTCGTGGCAAAGTGCAATCTGGTACCCACCGTCACGGTCTTGTCTTAAGAAGTCTTGCGACCAAGTTGCGGGTGGGAGGGTGGGATGTTTGCACGAGCAGTGGAGAGGACAGCTTCAAGTTGAGCAAGTGATTGCCTGCACATCATAGATCGCACCACATATGATGCACCGCGTAAACAGGCACAACGACGATCGCACTACATACATTGCACAAGATTGATCGCACCATATCTAATGCACAACGTAGATTGCACTTCGTTCATTGCACCACGTAGGTTGCACCACACATTTTGATCCACATAAATCGTACAACATCGATTGCTAGAAACATTGTCTACGGTGGTTCGCATCATATGGGTTGTTTTCTGTCAGTGCGACTCTGAGGTTGGAGGGTCGAGCTTCGCTGGGGTTCGAGGAACGAGTTGCGTTGAGGCATCCAGGACCGCCGAGGCTCGATCGGGGTCCGATGACCAACGGGGGTCGGGGGAACGGGGGTGGCGGAGAGGAGTCGAGGATCAGGGGCTCGAGGCCCGGCGAGGTTCGAGGTTCGCGGTTCTCCGATCAGCTTTTTCAATGGCTTCATGCGGGCGGGGTTCATGGCCCGGCGGCTTGGGGGAGAGGAAAGGCCATGAAGGAAAACGCAAACGCAAGCAAACGCTGACTTGTGTCAAACATGCGGAAATATAGGGGATCGAGAGGAGGAGGAGGAAAACCTAAGACATATGGACAAATATGGGAAATCCTTGATTTTTTTTCGATCTGTTAGTGTCTCCCTGGGCCCATCTAGACGGGGGAGGGCGAGCCGCGCTGGAGCCTTGGCCGTCTGCCCAGCTGGCCGGGGCCCCGGGAAAATGCAGGGCTCGACTCTCGAAGCCTCGATTGCTCTGCATTTTCGGGGGGCCTCTCCTGTCCTGCCTATAGACTGCAGTGTGTTCTTGTACTCCGACATGGGTTCGACGCGAATCCGACGTGGCTTTGGCACGGACCTATCACAGACTGCGCCACTGAACACATACCTTTTTTGTACCATGCGGACAAGCCGCCCCGCGGCTGAGGAGGGGGGGGGATCGGAGCCCCGAGAATAAGCATGGCTGGACGAACGGGTAGGATAGGGAAAGAGGGGGTTACGCAATGTGCAGCATGCAGCTGGTTTTGGCCCCGCGCCGGGCCCACTCCTCGATACATCGGCGCCTCCTGGCGCCAGGAGGTGCCAGGGAAACCAGCTACGTGATCTGCTGTTCTATCCTTCTCTTCGCTGTCCTACTCTTCCGTTCCCTCCGAGAAAGGCAGGGCAGGGATCTGAGCATCGAGGACAGCATCCTTCAAAAGCTATTGCGAAGGCCTTACGGCCGGTGCCACCGACCCTGAAGGGGGACGTCGACGACGATGGCGGCGGTGGTGGCTGCGACGACGACGACGCTGACGTGGGCCCGAGTCCTCAGGAATGCTTCTTGGGGTTTCTTGGGAAGGCTCTCGGGGGCCTCTGGGGAGGAATTTTGGGGTCTCGTGGGAGCCTCTTGGGGACCTCTTGGGGGCCTTTTCGGGTGTCCTGGGGGCCTCTTGGGGGCTTCTTGGGGCCTCTTGGGAACCTCTTGGGGCCTCCGGGGAGCTTCTCGGAGCCGAGGGCTCGAAAGGTCCGTTCGGGTGCCCCGTCAAGGCACGCTCTTTGATCCGTCTTGGGGGCCTCTTGGGCCGTCTTGGAGGCGTTTTGGGCTGTCTTGGGGTTCTTGTGGAATGTTTTGGAGCGCTCTGGAAGCCTCTTGGGCCGTCTGAGGGGGCGATCTTGAGGGCCTCTTCGGTCGTCTTGGAGCTGCGGGAAGCAGAAAAGGCGAGAACGCCCAAATCTGTCAAAACCTAAGACAAATCAATCACCCTTGCCACTTGGGGCCCTCTCGGCACTGCCTTTGGAGGCCTCCAGGGGCGTCTTGGAGGTCTCCTGGGCAGTCTGGGAGCGTGAAGGCGTTTTGGACCGATCGTTTTGGCGATTGGGGGCACTCTTGGACCGTCTCAGGGGCCTCCTGAGGCACTCTTGGCTTGTGATGGTACTTTTTGCAGCCCTGGGACCCCCAGGGGGGTATGCGTATCTGACCCCTCCCCGAGACCCCCCCCTTGGACCCCTAGGGAGGGATGCGTATCTGACTCCCCCCCCCTGGGACCCCCCCCGACGGGGGAGGGATCAAAGGGAAGGGGCTTCCTTTGGATTTGATTACGACATTGCGAGGCTTTTCTCTCGCTGACAGGCTTGAGGAGGGTGCAGGGAAAGGTGACGATGCCGACGACGACTGACGGAGACGACGACTCGAAAAGACAAACCCTGCGCACACGCCGACAAGGTCGGCGGATTTTTAGTTTTCCATGTTGTCTTGCTTTATCGCTTCTATTCTTTAGATCGGCTTTCGAGGCGTCAAGACGGCTCCCAGATGGCCTCAACAGGGGCCCAAGAGGGGCCCAAGACGAAGAAGGGGATCTTAGCATCGATCGAAGCAGAACACAAAGGCATGCGCATCAACTTTCGGAGCTCCGCGCGGATTCCCTGGATCGGCGCTGGGCCCCCCCCTGGCGGCGGCCCCAGCGCCGCCTCCTGGCGCGCTCCGCGCGCCAGGGAGGGGGGCTCTCAGCGCAGATCCAAGAAGTCCGCGCGGAGCTCCGGAAATTGATGCTCCTGCGGTTTCTTGTTCGTCAATTGGAGCCTGGAGTCGCTCGGACGCGCGCACGATTCTCGGCGAGGCCAGCGCCGGAACACCCGAGCCGTGGAGCACCCTGGGCCATCCCGCGAAAAAGGACAAAACGCACGAAACCGACAATTCCCCGACCCCTATCTCTCCACTGCAGCAGGAGGAGGAGGAGAAGGAGGAGGAGGAGGAGGAGGAGGAGGAGGAGGAGGAGGAGGGGGAGGAGGGGGAGGAGGGGGAGGGGGAAGAGGAGGAGGAGGAGGAGGAGGAGGATGGCGAGCGAGGCTCCGAGGACCGAGGCTCCGGCCGCCTCGCCCCGAGCCCTTCGCGGAGGCGCCCCGGCCGCACCCGCCGCCGACGACTCCCCGTTCGGCGGCGCCGCGCCGATCGCACCGCGGAGGCGGGCGGGCGGGGGCTGGTGAGGCGCGAGGGCGCGGGGGCGCATGGAAGACGGGCGCAAGGAGCACGGAGTCTTCTCCCCTCCTTCCTTCCTCCGCCTCCTCCTCCTCCTCCTCCTCCTCCTCCTCCTCCTCCCCCCTCTCTCCTCCTCTCCTGCTGCTCCTCCTCCTCCTCCTCCTCCCTCCTCCTCCTCCTCCTCCCTATGTCTAAATCGTTTTGTCGTTCACCTATGTACGGCGCCGCGTGGTCGCTCGCGCGCCCAGAGCTGGTCCTTTCGAACTAACAGCAGCGGGTGCTGTTGTTCGGTTGCCCTCTTTGCTGCCGCTGCCGTCCTTGAGCCTCTGCCTCGAAGTTCTTTATATATACATATATATATATATATATATACAAGACTGCATTGGCGCTTCGCGCCATGCACCTTGGTCCTTCAACCCTTGCGCGCGTTGGCGTCTAGCGCGGCCCTCCACGGTCTTGGAACCGCGGTTGGTTCGCGCCCAGTTCCCGGACCTGCACCTTACTTGCTCGCGCCCTCGCTTTGCTTGTCCGCGCGCCACTGGGACTCCATGAGAATGTCCCAGCGGACCGATCAGCGGCGATGAGAGCGGCCGTGGAGGCTCCGGAAATACAAAACGTCGGACAGAAGGGGCGGGAAAGAAGTGGAGGACGATTTGGGGAGGCGCGGCGAAGGGAGGAATATCATGAGGTAAGGTAAGGTAAGGCACGCATTGGGGCGGCGTGCTGTCTCGACTTGCGCATGGGGGTGAGACAAACGGAGATGCCTTGCGATCACATATGGAAACAGACCAGGGGGCTGCGGCTGCCCTCGTGAAACCTCCATGGAACGATTATTCTGGGATGCGATAGGGCATAGGGCAGCAAACATGCAGGCAACGTACCGGATCCTGGAAATGCTAAGGACATATACCGAATTCCGGGGAAATGTGCCGAATCCCGGGTTCGCAGCCGATTTCCCGGGAATTTGGTTGCGAACCCGGGATTTCAAGCATTTTGGTGTTTTGCGTGGGATGCCACTGTCTGGCAAACAACGGAGCAGCGCAGCGAAGCCGTTCCGGAGGTGGCGGTCAAGTGGGGCGATTCAGCAGTTTTGAAGCCTCTTGGGGGGCCGTTTTGGCTGCCTTTTGGAGAGCCATTTTGGGGCCTCGTGGGTTCTTTTTGGGAGTCCTCGGGGCCTTTGGAAGCCTCTTGGGGCCTCTTGGGGCCCTCCTGGGGCCTCCTGGGGCCCACTTGGGGCGGAAAGTTAGATGTTTGAACTTTTGATCGCCCTGTGGGGGCTCGTTTGAAGCTTTCTCGGGGCCCTCTTGGGCCTTCTTGGGCGCCTCTTGGGCTGTTTCGGGGCGCTCCAGAGCCGTCTTGGGGCCGTGTTGGGGCCGTTTTGGGGGCCCCCCGGGCCATCTTGGGGCGCTCTTGAGGGCCTCTAGTTCTGTCTTGGAGCGTCGGAAAGCTAAAATGGCGAGAAAGCAGAAAACATCGAAAAACACATTGGAAAATTGACCATTTCGGCCTCCCGGGGCCGTCTTGGGGGGCTTCTTTGGGGCCGCTTGGGGCGTCTTGGGGGCTCCTGAGGCTGTCTTGGGGCTATCTTTGGCGTCTTGGAGCGCTTTGTGCCTGTCTTGGAGCGCTCTTGAGGCACTCGGGACCGCTTCAATGGGCGTCCGGAGGGTCCCAAAGTCCCAGGATCCCAGGAGTCCGGTTTGGGGGGGGGGGGGGTGCGGGGTTTTGCGGCCGCCCGGGCTTGTAAAAATATAGGAAGAGGTATATATATATATATATATATATATATATATATATATGTTTCAAGGCTTGTTTCCTTTGGCGCTGATGTTGCAACAAGTCCTCCTTACGTCCTCCTCCTCCTCGGTTCGGTTCGGCTTGGATGGGCGCAAGAGGGTCGAAGCGCATACACAGGCGGGGCGAGAGCAAGCTAGGAGCAGCAGCAAAGGCGAACCGCCTCCAGCGCCATGGAGCGCATCTCTCTCTCTCTCTGTGAGAGAGGGACCGTTAACAAAAGGTTATTATCATTAGCAGCTGATGGACACTGAAGAGAAACGACAGGGAAATGGATGGGGGCAAGGAAGAGAAGAGCCTTCCAAAAATGCACACGCCAGGTTCATGCCAATCGGCGCCGCAACCCTCAAGTGGGGCATTGCACTACACTCGGGGTGCCGCCACAAGGAGGTGCGCCAACGAGGCGGCCTTGGCCGCGTCATCTCCTTCCCCCGAGTGCCCTTTCATCCATTTCGTGCACCATGCTGCACAGCAACTACGCTGCCAATCTATTCCTATCTAACATCACACACGCACGAATAACAAACATGATAACCATATGGGTTCAGGGCCTCGGGCTCGGCACGGTTGGGTTGGACTGATCGTGTACCACACAGTCCATCTGAATACCCGATACAGCATAAAGGCCTAGTGGTGCCACGAAGCGTTGTAATTCCAGGAGAACTTCCCAGCAGCCATGAGAAGAATCCAGGGTCAACAGCTCCGTGAGCACATGCCCCTCACCGATCGTCCACTGGTGTGGTTGCCTGTCGGCAAGAGGGGCAGTAATGTGTCCACCCCCCGCGAGCCACGAGCATGGAGCGCTAACATATTTTGACCGATGCGTCGACGGCCTCTCTGTGGATCAGGATGCTCAAGCCATGACGTGAAGCAGCAGTAGCTACGGGCCCTCCTCGCGAAACATGGTCCAGCGCTAGAGCCCTGCGTGGTCATCCTGATACTCGCAAGCCCCCCCCCCGTCCTCTCAGATCCGACGTTCTGTTTTGAGGTTTCGGGCATCTGGCTCAAAAGGGAAATGCCCAGCTTGCCCTGGCCAGTCGCCTGCTTAGGTCCACACTTGACCTTTTCTGGGGAGCTTGGGTGTATGGAGTCCCTGCGGTGATGGAGCATCTCTCCCACAAGCCCCGCGGTCAGGGTGCCTCCAGCTCTTGGATGCTTCCCCAGCTTCGCTTCCTCGTCGCCTTACCTGGTGTTCGCCTGCATTAAATTCACGAGTGTATGTTCGGGGCCAGGGGTCTCAAGCCCACGTCTTTGCTGTGCATTTATTTGGACGCGGCTCGAGATGTCTTGTGGGGTGGTTTGTGCTCTCATTGCTGCCCTCACGTGGCATCGGCGAGCAGGGGATATGGCGAACTACCCACACCAAGACTTGCCCTCCTGAATGGTTGGCAACGCCGCTGCTGAGCACCACCACGTTGTTAAGATGATCCTCACACACCTCTTCCGCGTACCACTGGGAGTCATGCGTTCTTCGAAAGCCCGAGAAGAGATTCAGGAGGAAGAAAAACACACAGTCACCACCAATCGTCGATTCCCTGGAACATATGGGAACTTTTGAGAAGCGGCGGGGAAAACACAATTGAGGAACACGCGGGAAGATGTTGGAAATCATGGGATGTGTGTCCAGTTTTATGTGTGTGTGTGTCCCTAGCCCCTTTGCGGATACCACACAAGTATATGTATGTATATATGTATGTATGTATGTATGTATGCATGCATGCATGTATGCATGTATGTGTGTGTGTTTGTATGTATGTATGTATGTATGTATGTATGTATGTATGTATGTATGTATACATGTATGTATGTATGTATGCATGAATGTATGCATGTATGTATGTATGTATGTATGTATGTATGTATGTATGTATGTATATATGTATGTATGTATGGATGGATGGATGGATGTATGTATATATGCATGTATGTATGTATGTATGTATGCATGTATGTATGTATGTATGTATGTATGTATGTGTGTATGTATGTATGTATGTATGTATGTATGTATGTATGTATGTATGTATGTATGTATGTATGTATGTATGTATTTTTTTTTATATATATATATATATATATAGATCAGGGCGGAAAGACAGAGAGAGAGGGCGGGGAGAGGCAGAAGGGGAGAGGGGAGAGGGGACAACGAGCAAGGGGGGGAGGGACACATGTCAGCCTCCTTAGGCTGCTCGAGCTCGCGAGCCACTGCTACCCTGGGGGCGATCGACGGTCCCTGGCGCGGGAGGGGCAGGCGCTCAGCAAGTGTGTGCGGTCTGCCTCGGGCGCTCCTCCTCCTCCTCCTCCGCCGCCTCCTCCTCCTCCGCCTCCTCCTCCTCTTCCGCCTCCTCCTCCTCCTCCGCCTCCTCTTTTTTTGCGTTGACCGGATTTCATCCACAACGATTGCAGCGGCAGCCCTCCTCCTCATCTTGTCCTAGAGCATATAGTCTGCTCAGACATCGAACTGTGCTCAAGAAGCGTGCGTCGTCGTCGTCGTCGTCGTCGTCGTCGTCGTCGTCCGCCTCTTCTTTCTCCTCTTTCTCCTCCTCCTCCTGCTCCTCTTCCTCCTCCTGCTGTGCACCGTGAGAGCTACGTGCGGGTCCCGCTACTTAATGCGCTGGGCATGAGCTGCCACAGCAGCTGCCACAAGCCTCCAGCCCACTATGATGGCGGCGCTTCTAAAGCTATCGACGCTCTGCCCCGAGCTGCTGGCGTTCCCCCGCTTATCCTCCCTGTCCACGTTCATGGTGCGGCCGACGTTTTTGCGGATCATCTTCCGGGCCTTCCTGATATCTTTCCGCCGCCTGGTGGGCCGCCGTCCTCCCTCAACGACGGACATCTCAAGCGCGTGCTTGCTCTCATGGATCGCCAGGCTCTTTCGCCATATCGTCGTGAGTTCGTCCGGTGGGTGCTCATGAACCCTGTCCATGTCTTCGTGCTGGATCTCGAGGTGACAGCGGCGACGAGGACGACCCGCTCTTCCTGGAGCTGGCGACTCTGGAGGACGCCGCGTCGGACCCCTACCCCGACGGATACGACTTCGGTGTTCTTGCTGACGTATGCCCTGACCTCTGCCCGAAGAGCGAAGCCTCACTTACCGCGCTGATTCGAGACGAATTTTCCGACAACATCATGAAGGACAGCGTCGTGCCTTTGAGGTTGGGCGCGAGCACGTTGGACACACAAAGGTAATCCTTATCGACGACGTCATGGACGACGAGACGCACGACCCGACACTCAATGGAACCCCCCAGGACATGAGGCTTCCCCTCCAGTGGGTACCCCGCCTGTGGTGACTGCTGCCGACGACTGCGCCCAAGTGCGGGAGGGCCTCAGGCAGGGGGCCACACTGTCTGGTTCGATGACACGAACGTGATCCCCACGTCCAACGCCAACGATCTGCTCCTCCTCCTCCTCCTCCTGGATGGCGTGGTGCGCTCTTGTCTTGGAAACAGTACCCGTGCTGCCGTCGCCGGCCACGGCGGTGCGGCCTCGGTGCGGTCCTCGGTGCCAGTCCTTCGCTGCCGCCCGGCCTGCCTGTCGGCGCTCGTTCCTGCCCTCGGCCGTCTGGGCGCTCTGCGGGCCTGTGTCTAAGTCGGGCCTGTCCCTCTACAGGGGGGATATAGGAAAAGATAGTATGGGGATGATTTGTTCCGTATGTTTGACTATGTTGGAGTATTTTTGTGTGATTTTCAACATTTTGCCCAAAATCCCCCGTAAGGGGACACGCCCGAACTAAGCCTATGCCAAGCTTCTTGGGCCTTCTTCTGAGAAACCCCGCCGCCTTCTGAGCGACACAAAAAAAGCACACGCGGTGCTCAACACGCAGCACAACTCTCAACAGGCAAGACCGAGCACGCCGAAGACAGCAATTTACAATCGTTGATACAACCCGCAGCACACAATAGCATACACTCCGCAATGCATAACACACAGCACACAAGGTACGACGCTCGCGATTCACAACGTACACGACGCAACACACAGGGCACATAGTAGACGACACACAACCCACACCGCAGAGCAACGGACCTTGCGCGCGCGAGTGCCTGCACGCACGTCTCCACTTACGCACATATGCAGACTGGCGCGCACGCTGACGCACACCTGCACGATTACGCGCTTGCGTGCGCACAAACCACGCGCACCTCGCGCACGCTTCCGCGCAGGGGCACGCCCTTGCTTACGCGCATGTGCACTCACGTGCGCAGCACGCTTATTCGCACGCCTACGCTTGCGCGTGCGCGCAAGCGCGCTCGCACGCACGAGCGCGCACACTGTATGTACGCGCGCTGTTTGGCGTCGCGGCCACGCGCGCGGTGGCGCGGCGTAGCGCAAGTCAGGCGGGGCCTAGAATCAACGCTGTCGTACAGTTTGCAGTGTGCTGCTAGCACGGCCCTCTGTGGGGCCCCTGAGGCAGATGGCCGCGGAGGCGGGGAAGGCGTTGCTGCAATCCCGCCCACCCCGCCCATCCTCTTAGACTCTGCGTGAAGCTACCTCGCCAGAAACTGAGTTCAGGACGATCTTCACATGATGCTCAAAGACTCGTGGCGGACAAATTCGCCACCCCCTTCGCAGCTCCCACACGCAGGTGCATGGAGAATCTGTCCAGGTTCAGATCCAGACATCCGACGATATCGTTTCTTCAATGCGCGGCCCTAGAGGTCCCGACTCCTTCTCCAGGGCCAGTTTTTCATCCCGAGTGTGGTTTTGACGGCCCCAGGGCCCGGCCAGGGCCCCCGGAGGCCGAAACGACGAAAAGTTCTAAACGCCGCGATCATGTCGGGGATGGGCGGACACATGCTGCCCCCCTCGTCGCCACCGCTTCTGCTACACAGGCGACAGCTGTTCTGGCCATAAGTAAGGCCTCTGGCAGCCGTTCGGGACGATCCCCCTGGACGCCCCTCGGCGAGACGCAGCCACTGGAAGGCATCCCGAGGCTGCAGAGCCGTCGAGAACCAATGAAAACGCCAGACAGTTGTCCGAGGCGGGAATTCATACATGACCACCGCCTGGAGGGTCAGTTTCCGAAGCCTCGGCAGGCGGTGGATATGGACGGATTCGGGCCCACAGGGGCCGAAATGTATTCATATCCACCGCCCGCTGGGGCACCAGGATGTCGGTGCCCAGGCGGTGGAATTTGGATAGATCCCCGCCTCGCAAATTGGACGTTGCTCTTGAGAAGCGAGGGACGAGGGGAGACCTGGGCGCCTAGCGCCTCCGCATTCGATCTCCAAGGGGGTGGGCGAACTCTGCCCCCCCTCACAGGAGAGCACTTTTTCGATTCCCAGGCCATAACGGGCGTTACGGGGGGGGGGGGGGCGGGAGACGGGGGGGCAGTAACGTCACATTTCGCGCTGGCGCCGTCTGGGATTTTTTTTGGAAGGAACATTGGAAAACACCCCTGAGGGGGGGAAGGGGGGGGTGCGGCCAGGGCCAGTAACGGTCTTTCTAGCGAGACATCAAAAAACGCTCTCTTGTCGCAGCTCCCCCCGAGCCCCCTCAGGAGCAGGAGCGCCGGCCCTCTTTGACCTCTTCGACCTTTTTTTTTCATCGTGAATGAATCCGCCGCCCTCTTCGAACTTGGCACGAGGGACAGCCTCCCGACTCAAAGGGAACCATGGACCCGGGCCCTTTCTGGGACAAACGCTCTCCAGTCGCAGCCCTCCCCACGCCCCCCCCCAGGAGCAGGAGCGCCGGCCCAGCCTCTGGCAGCATCGCGAGCCTGCAGCGCCCGAGCACGCCAGGGCCAGCGGCGCTGCCAGAGCAGCCCGCGAGCCCGGGGGTCGCCCGCCAGCGGCTTGTGGGGATGAGGAGGGCGCAGGTGGCTGGGCATCGCTCGGACGTGTGCATGTTTCTGTCGGTGAGGACCTTCGAGGAGCATCCTGGATCATCGAGCAGAAACATGATCGAACCACGAACCCGGACAGGACTTGAAACTGCGAGGCATGGGACCGTACCTAAGGACCGCATGATTATGCAATTGGGCGATGCCAGGGGGACATGCTAAGGGGACGCGCCGCGGAACGTCCCAATGGACGCGCCAGGGAACGTGCCAGGAGACGTGCTATGGGGACGCACCGCGGGACGTGCCAAGGGGACGCGCTACGGAAGTTGCCAGTGGACGTGCCACGGGACTTGCCAGGGGGACGCGCAGCGCGACGTGCCAGGGGGACTGGGGGACTCGCCACGGGACGCGCCACGGAACGTGCCAGGGAACGCGCCAGGCGACGCGCGAGAGGACGTGCCGGGAACGCGTCAGGGAACGTGCCACGGGACGTCCCTGACCCAGGGCCAAGATCCCTCGTGAATTACGCTGCGTCCGCGCTCCGAAGGCCACGATCCCTAGTACATTTCGCTGTGTCCTTCAGCGCCCCCAGGGCCGCGATCCTTTGTAAATTACGCTGCAACCGCCCTCCCTGGGCCCTGGGCCACGATGCATCGTAAAGTACGCTGCGTCCGCGCTCCCAGGGCCGCGCTCCCTTGTGAATTACATTGCGTCCGCGCTCCGGGGGACACGTTCCCTCTTAGATTGCCTTGTGGTCGGGCTCCCAGAACTCCCTGGGCATCCAGGGGTGCCCAGGCCGCTCAAGTTCTGCAAAGCAAGCGTTTCGCATGAGACATCCTCAGATAGTCGGCGTGCAGGGCGCGCCATCCTCGTGCGGGCGCGCAAGAAGCATATCTAAGAAACAATCTGATAAATTTCAAGACGTCCAGACTTTGTGTTTTGTTACGGATTCTGCGCAAAACGCTCCGCACTCAGTTTTTTAACGAGTGAAATCGGGGGTCTGCGAACCCCGTCCACATTTATCAAGGACCTGAGATGGGGGGCGCATTTTCCTATAGCGGGCACACGCGAAACGTATCTTTTCCATGCCGGATTGGGCTTTACTTGTTTTTTTCAATCGATGGGAAATTCGCCGGCCTTCTCTTCAAGTCGTGCCCAGGGGTAAACTCTAAAACAGAACCCTGGGCCTCCGCCCTTTCTGGGACAGGATCGACCCAATAATCCGGAAAGGGATATAGACATGTGAAGCATGGCAACGTTTTCGAGACACTTGATTGGGCGACGGGCAATTGCAATGCTGAGTGCACCGACCTTGATGTACCGTGCCAAGGGCTGTGCTGTGCTGTGCCGTGCTGGAATGCGATGTACCATGCCGCGATTGTGCTTTGTAGCGTTGTGGATCGAGTCCTCCTTAGCGTTCAGGTCCTGACCGAACTGATCTGGATCTTAAGCTCGAGCTGCCTGAGCATATAATAGCCGCCCCAGAGCTAGTTGAAGTGGAAAGGTTGAGGACGTTCAGTCAACTCGACCTCAAAACAGTACTCAGCTCCGACAAGGAACGACACAACACGGGGCACAGGCTCACGGACGCGCCGCAGGATGTGCCAGGGGCGCAATAGGGGATGCCCCAGGGGACATGTCAGGGGACGCATCAGGAGACGTGCCCTGGACGTGTCAGGCACTTGCCACGGGACGTGCCAAAGCGCGTGCCATGGGGCGGCCAGAGGACGTCATGCCAAGGGACGTTGCAAGGGGCCCGCCACGGAACGGGCAGGGGAAACGCCTGGGGGCGAGAAAAGAAACGCGACAGAGGACGAGCCAGGGAACGTGCCATGCCGAGTGGCGTGCTAGGGGACGTGCCAGGGCACGTCACGCCAGAACGTCCCACGGGACGCACCAGGGGGCGCGCCAGGGCGCCAGGGGACGCCCCACGGACGGGCGGGGTTGGACTTTGACGCACTCTTTTGCGACAAGCGTTTCTCTCGAGACATCCTCAACCAATCCTCATGACCTGAACACGTGAAACCAAACGTCTCGCTCGAGACGTTCTCAAAACCTCCGCATGTTAGAAATCTGCCTGAGCCACCTGGACATGTGAAGACAAGCGCTTCGCTCGAGACATTCTGCCCACATGTTAGATATCCGTCTGGGCGACATGGACACGTGACAACAGGCGTTTCGTTCAACACATCCTCAACGCATCCTCAGTCTAGACATCCGCCAGGGCGACCTGGACACGTAGAAACAAGCGTTTCGCTCAACACAGAAAGAGCGTGTTCTACCGTTGCTGGGGGGAAACCGGGGGGGGGTCACTGGGGGTTCCTAACCCGTTCCCCCCCCCCCTCGAAAACCAGGGGGGGTCACTACCAGTTCGAACCCCCCCCCAGTCCATGATGAAAAGGGGGGGGCCACTGCCGATTCGAACCCCCCCCACCTCCTTCGAAAACCGGGGGGGTCACTACCGGTTCGAAAACCCTCTCCCTCGAAAGCCGGGGGGGGGGGTCACTGCCGGTTCGAAACCCCTCCCCTCCCCCCCGTCCCCCCTCGCCGTCGGCAAACGATGCGCGCTCTTCGGGACAGTTGGAGAATGGTGGGGATGGTGGACGCACAAGCGAGCTTGTTCGTGGGCACAATCCAGGGGGGTGCAGCGGGAGGACGCGCGCGGCCAACAGGCGTTCGCGCGCGGTGCGCGTCCCGCAGGCGCGCGCGCGGGGGACGGGTCCTTGCGCGCGTTTGCCCTCGCTGCGCAGGCGATCGACGCAGGTGCGCGCGCGGCCCCACGGGGGCATGCGCGCGCCGCGTCGCCGCGCAGGTTGCCACGTCTACCTGCAGGACGGGCAGGCCCGCTGCAGTTCTGTTCCTACCTTTGTGCGGCCCAGGGGCCTGCCCCCGTGGGTCCGAGCGCCTGCGCTCTGGTGCTCGCTCGTGCGTTTTTGCGGCCGCGATCCCTCGCGGTCGTCGCACAGGCCCAACACTGGCCATAAGGGATATACGGACCATTCAGTGTCCAGTCTGTGTCTCTCCGCCTCACGCCTGCTACTGGCCTCTGTGGCAAGGGCTCGTTCGCCCTCCCCGCGGCCTACTATTGGCCAAGGGGGACAGACAGACCTTTCAGTGTCTCGTCTGTGCCCGACGGCCTCAAGCCTAATGATGGCCTCTGTGGCAAGGGCCCCTCTGCCCGCACCACGGCCTACTATTGGCCAGAGCGCGCGCCCTCCCCGCGGCCTACTATTGGCCAAGGGGGACAGACAGACCTTTCAGTGTCTCGTCTGTGCCCGACGGCCTCAAGCCTAATGATGGCCTCTGTGGCAGAGGCCCCTCTGCCCGCACCGCGGCCTACTATTGGACAGGGCGTGAGACGGACCATGTAGGTCTCGTCGAGGTCATGCTGCCTCAAGCCTACCATTGGCCTCTGAGGTACGGGCTCTTCCGCCCTCCCCGCAGCCTACCACTGGCCAGAAGGGAACAGACGGACCCTGCAGCGTCCTGTCTGCGCTCGTTCTGCTTCACGCCTACTACTGGCCTCTGTGGCAAGGGCTCCTCGGCCCTCCCCGCGGCCTACCACTGGCCAAAAGGGAGTGACGGACCATGCAGGGTCACGTCTGCACGCTGACAGCCTCAAGCCTACTATTGGCCTCTGTGGCAAGAGGGCTCTCTCGCCCTCCCCGCGGCCCATTACTGGCCAAAGGGAACCCACGGACCATGCAGTGTCCCTCTGGGGTGGTTCGACTCGCCGCGGCCTATCACTGGTCGACGTCGGCAAAAGGACCGCAAATCGTCTTGCAAATCGCGCGCGCTCTTTCGTCGCCCGTCGCGGCTCCCCGCGCCCCCGCCGCTTCGGCCGCGCCGCAGAGTGACGCGCGCGAGCAGCGTCGCATTTATCGCGCGAAGTTTTGTGCTGCTCTGCCGCGATGTCCGCGGTGCGCGAATTTCTCGCTGGCGTCAGCGTGGAATGTGTAAGGAATGGGTCACTCGGGGCCGCGCCGCCCGAGTGGCTCGACGCCGTTGCGCTGATCTGCGAACGGCAAGAGATCGTGTCCGTTGAGGTCCTCGCTCAGGCGAAGCCAGCGGACTTTGTCGCTGACGCGGCCATCACGGCCGGGAAAAGGGTGTTCTTGCTGAAGTGTGTCAGTGACGCGCAGAAGCTGAGGCCCAGCGCCAGCGCGTCCTCGGAGGCAGGGCGTCACGCCGGGAGCGCGCCCGCGTCTCAGCGCGCGACGTGCCGGGCAATCGCCCACGTGTGCCTGGTGGACGAAATCGCGAAGCAGCCGGCGATCAACGGACTGCCGCAGTCCTTTTGGCCAAGGCGCGTTCGCTGCGTCGACGCGCCGCGCGCGCGGCTCCCCCCGTGGCGCGTCAGCTCTAAGATGGTTGACTGGCTCGCCTCCGAGGCGAGGGCGCTTGAAAAGCGCGGGACCAAGAGTCCCTTCGTATTCACGGACATGAAGAAATGGCTTCCAGTCTGAATGGCCCCGGGCGACGCGCGCGGCGCCGACGACGAGCCCGAAGCGTCCAAAGAGGTCAGGGGCCTCGCCCGCGCGCTCGGCGCCGCGCCGACGAGCGACCCAAAGAAAGGGATGTTTATCACGAGCTGGGCCATCGCATGGCAGAGGCGTCGCATCGCATCGCAGTCCTTGCCGGCGCAGCGTCGTCGGGCGCTCGCAGGTACGGAGCGGCTGCGGTGGCGCTCGGCCAGCTGCCACCGCGCGCGGTTCTGCGGCACCAGGAAGTGGTCATGGCGGTGGCCTGCCAGGCGCAGGCTCGCCGCAAACACGCTCGCGCGCGCGCGCCGCGTTCGCGCGCCCTTCTTCAGGCGAAAAAGCGGCGCGTCAATCTCGCGTTGATTTACGACGAGGTCGCCCGCAAGAGCAGGGCATAGAGAACGATCGCGGGGGATCCCGAGTTCCATTTGTACAGGGCGATCTCCAAAGTGGATCGCACTCTGCTCGGCACCGCTGAGGAGATATACGACAGCGCCGAAGCCGACAAGGCCCCCA